TGCAGCACGCTGTCTTCAGCGGGGACAGCTTCCCCGGGCAGCAAGGCAGACCTGAGCGCCAGTGCAAACACCCTCTCCTGTCTCACCGCAAACTCTCCCCATCACAGAGCTTTCATGCAGTGTTTTATCTCTTTCGGGGTGCCAGGCTCATCCGTACCGCAATGCTGAGAGGAAAAGGGCATCTTAGCACATCCCTGCAGCAGGGAGGCTGAAACCCTCTGTGTCCCTCGTCCCTGCCACCTGCAGGCTCCTTCTCCAAAGCAGCTACACACGGTGTAGAAAGACTCACCTCGTTCCCCAGGCTCCGCTGATCTGCACGGCAGCGATGAGCTGAGGACGGACCTGCTCTTTCAGACTTGATGGAGCCACAAGCTGCTGCTTCCAGAGAACGTTCTCAGGGTCGCACCTCCATCGCTGACACGGTGCAAGGAGTGTCTGTCGCCCAGACGTCAGATAACACGTAGTAAGGAGACTTTTTTAGATGGTGAAAGCACTTCGCATAAGGACTTACTTGATGYTCCTTGCCTCCGCTGACTGCGGCTCAGGATCAGCCACCCATGGAACAAATTCATGGGGAAATTTAACAGAACTACTAAAAAAACATGCCTTAACCTAACCAGAGTCATGGGGAATTACTGCAGTGTAGTGGGAAGGTACTTCTGAAAGAACCTGCACCGTAATCCACACCTGTGCAGAGTTAGAGACAATCAGTATCAGCTTTCTGAAAGGAAGAATTATCCCCTTAATTCACACAATCTGTATTTAAAATAATAGTTCAGCCTCCTCRATACCTCTGTGAATCTGCATTAAGCTCTTATCCCACTGGCCTTCTTAACTAGCTAATCACATACATTTCAATGCTGTTTATAGAATCGTACAAAGATCTGGTTTCATTCAATCCATAATAAATAAAACCACGAGTGCACCTCAGTAAGTATAGCACGACCTTGGTATTTTCATTTTAATAAAGATACAAAATTGCCAAGATATGTGACTTTCAGTGTTAATAATTGAACAAGGCAATAGACCTTGTAATTCAAAATAAGTTTAAGGAGGCTGCTAAGTGATTCTGATAATGATTCAAGGACCAATTACAGAAAAGATCTCGCTCTTTGTTTTCTAATTAAAGATATTGGAAACAGTGAGGCTGAGAAGTTCTGGGGTTAACCATTTTTGGTAAGATTAGGATATTTATATACTGTGTATTGGAAAAGTTTAGCAAAAAAAAAAAAAAAAAAAAATACGATGGGCTCCTCCTTAAAGTACATTCAATTTTCAAAGGAAAAGCAACAGAATCAAGTTATTGCTCCTGCTGCTCCGTGCTGGCTAGAACACACAGCCCGCAGGACGGCTGCTCTGTGAGCCTTGCAGGAGGATTTAGCAGCTCCACAGGGCCCCTCTGCCAGGCCACGCTGCAAAACCAAAGGCAGAGCTTAGCCAAGCCCGGAGCCTCGGTCAGCCTGGCCTTGCTGCAGTCAAGACCCGGCACGATGGCTCTGCAGGGAGCAGTAACTCACCCTGGCTCCGGAGTGTAAAATGCTCGTTCCAGGGATGGGTTTACGAGGGAGCTTAGTAATGGCTTTACRATTTTACGAGAGGCCAAATTAACAGTTTGCTGCTACTAAAAGGCGAACGTTCCCCTGGCCCKGTCCTAAATGCACCCACTACCTGGCGCCAGCTCTAAGCGCAGGAAACCAGCTGTGTGCACCAAAGCCAACCTCGGCAGAAAATAAACGTATARAAAGCAATCCAAATCAGACCTGTTCTGGCCGGTCAGCAACCCGCTCACCTTGCAGAGCGCAGTGCACGGCGTGGAGCAGGACGAGGGGGAGGCCGCTGCCCTCGGTGTCATCGCTCGCTCAGCGCCGCAGCCGCCCTATTATCACAGCAATAACCTGCGTTAGAGCCACAGAAAAATCCCTTCTCCACTTGCACTATTTTTGCAGCATTTAAATTAAGAGCTACTACATTTTTCTGCTCCACACTGCAAATGAATTTCCCATAACTCACGCTCCCCTGCTCAGATAAACCTTTCTCTTTTTACCCTGTACACAGCTGAGCAGCAGCCAAGGACAGTTCACTTAGCTGAATAATATGCACTGGTGCTAAATGAAAATTAAACCATAAATATTTTAGAATACCTGATTTCCTGGATAGTAAAAGTGAAATGTATCATTTGTTTAAACTATCCTATTCATTATTTCTTTTCTCATTTCATAAAAATCGCRTCACTAACAAGAACCTACATAAATAGAGCTTCAACTTTCATCTTGAGAAGTTTAATCAGAAAGCTCTTCAGGAATATTTTATTCCTTTTATCAGAATATTGATGGAAGTCATAATTCACCTTAATGGGAGAAAGTTTCCCTTCTTCAGTTAAGAAATTCATCAAGACATTTCTTGTTGGTAAGACCTGACATAAATTTGCTTGCTTTTTTCTCTGCTATTTGATCTCAGCACTTTATGAATTTTTGATTGCCTGCCCTCAATTTTCCACAAGCAAATTCAATTAAAGAAATTAAAAAACAGTAGTTCAATCCTAATTACCTCATCAGCAAATGGCTCTTTTATTACACAATGGGCGACACATGCCCCACTCTTCAGGTGCAGGTGGAGTCCTTATAAACCCGGGTCAGGTGAAGCCTCTCCTCTTTTATGGGTGCTATTAGAACACAGCCTATCAAGCCACCCAACTCAATGTGCTAACTCCCCTGATAAGGCAGTTATCCAAGGGCTATTGCAAAAGAAGCAATTTCCTAGGGAAAAAGGGAGATGGAGCACATCCAATCTTTCGTCCATGCAAGAGGATGGGCCCTTTTTTCACACCATGAAGGAGGGAATGGTGCACGAGGGCCCTGGGAAGCACTTTAGCACAGCTGCTCTCCCAGGACCAAGGGCTTAGGGTTTTAAAACAGTGATAYTCCACAGACACCATCACTGAAAGGTAATTTGCTTAGACACACAAGGACTTTCTCCTACTTTCTCAGAAGAGCTCAAGCACTGGCTCRAAAGCCCCTCTTCATAAGGCGCTATAGCAGCTTGCTACAGCCACTGTCGACTGCATGGAGCAAGATTCATCTCAAGTATTTAAAATAGTTGACTTTCTGAAAGTGAATTACTTTAAAGAATTCCAAAAATGAAGCCCACTGGTATATATTGTTTAAAGAATTTCAAGGATATGAAATGCATGGTGATTTCCTGTGGACTTAAAAACATTTGGATTACCAGCGGCACAGAGGGAAGGTTAAGAGCCCTAGAAAAACACACCCTTGCAAGCCGTGATTCCACAAACTCAAAAATCAGCCATTCGCCTCAAAAGATTTCATGACTGATACGACTATCAAGAGGAAAAGGTTCAAGATACAGAATTCTACTCTGAGGATACCTCATGCAAGAGGATTTTCAGAGAAGACAGCTAAATAGACATTTCAGAAGAGAATTTATTGACATTCACAGTACAGGCATGTGAGTTTTACTCCATTAGGCCTAAGTAGTGTTAGGTGCAAGTGATGAATACTTAGACGGTGGGAGAAGAATCGTCACAACAATAAAAATATAAGAGCGTCTTAAAATGTGATAACCACAAAACAAACGCCAAAGTACTTTTAGTAATTGAATTGATATTAGTCTCTGGAAACAGACATCCCTAAAACTCATACAAAAAGCAATCCTATGAGTAGTTTAAGTATATATTCTTCCTCCCTCAAAAGTCAGGGGGTTTTAAAGAACGTGTTTGCTGGAAATAACAGCTCAGGAGCTGGAATGCTAATAAATTTCTCACCCTACAGAAAGTCTTTGCAGGGAGGGAGGACGACGTGAGGGAAAGCAAGATTCTCTGCCAATACATTAACATAGGCTTAAATAGGGCATTGTTGGCAGCTCAGAAAGTGTGGGAGAAAAACATTTACGCTGGTTTGATTCAGCCAGCCGCACTGTGTTTAAAGAGCCTGGGAAAACACGCAGGATGGAACAAGGTAGCGCATTTAGAAATTCCAGAAATCAGCAAAACGTGCCTCTTTTCTACTAACTTCACCCAGAGCAGATTTGCTACTCATTTGTAAAGCATCCTTTCTATTACAGCCCAGAGGCCAAATATGATGGCCTAGTTCCCTCAATAGGATGAGGAGAAAATGGCACTCAAGAAAGACGTTTTAAGTCAGGGTTTATTGTATATCTGTGCTATGAGGAACTTTTAATAGTATTTCATTCAGTGTTCTGTGCAAGTCCTGCAGTAGCAAGCTCAAAGAAACAACAACCATTTTGCAAATTGTATTATCTAATGCCAAAACCACTAAATTTTTATGAATGGTGTTTACAAAGAAAGCTACTGAACCCTGGAAAACATGTTAGTCTCCTTCTTTCTAAATCCGACCTTTCTAGAGGAGCTTTGTAAGGTAATTTTACCCTCTGGATCTTGACGAAAGCAACGTTATGCTTTAGTGCGGGCGTTCAGGCGAGTCTCAAGTACCTCCATGCAAAAAAGCTGTACTAAAATTTAAGAAAATTAGGTGATGCTAATATACAACTTTTTTWAAAAAAACTTTTCAATTTAATATTTTATTTTTATAGCTTGAATGACTTTGCTATATACCCTACATATCATTTAACAGAGGCAYAAAACAAACTGCACATATCCTCTGCACAGGCTGAATTTCACCAATAATGAAAAACATAATTTGGAATAGTTTGCTCAGACCCAGGCATAAATAAACTCTCCACAGTAAGGTACTATATAAAATCATGAAAATAGCTGAGATTAAAAAAAAAAAACCCACAAGATTATTATTGCCATTTATTTTAAAAACCTTATTAAAATATTAAGTGATACAGGTCCAAATATAATAAAAATTATGGCAAGAAAACAGATTTGGTATATTTTGTTTGTGCTTTACTTCCTTGTGGTTACAAAAAGAAGGTGTTTAAYGGCAGAATTTTGAAGTTTTAGTGTTTCACTAGTAAGACAGTAACATGCCTTCAAACTCTTCATGCCGATACCCGGAACATTCTGATTTCTTTCGAAGTGTTACATAATTACGTGAATACCAAGTCATTGATTACGGTTCTGATCCACTATTATTTACACATTTAATCAGTTTTGAAAACTAAATCACAAACAGAATGTACAGAGAACTAAAGAGATTTTAAATTTTACAACTCATGAAAACATAAATAATGAACGTACAAAAGACATGGTTAAAAATGAATAATAATAAAAAAACCCTAATGTACCAGTAATTGCTTTACAGTAATGCTAAATATTTGTCAAAATTGAGAATGTGCTCTCCACAGACTGGCAGCCCCACATGCTATTACCTTCATCTGCCTGTTACCTCGGTCAGAGTAACAACAAAATATCTTGCTCTTACATTCTCAGGCCTCTCCTGTTCACAATGTACCAAAGCACGCAACTGTGTGTTCCAACTGTCCTCAAATTCATGAGAGAGTTTTGATGTACCGAAAGCCTGTCATCCATATTTCACTAAAATTGTATCATAAAGTTTATTTTCCACTCAGTAATTATGAAGATAATAAAATAGTCATAAATATAAAGAAAAAAATATGGACAGTCAAGAAGCTGCAAGACCTTCTCATAAATCTGGAGCATTCTAAAGAAATACAGTGTATAATTCCTCTAATGAAGTATTTTAAACATAATTATTTTTGCAGCACCAGGATTTAAGCACAGAAAAAAACTAATTATTTTTTGAACTGTAATACAGTAGGATTTATAAACCATTTCAGTGATTAGCAAAGAGATCATTAATTTGATTCAGCGATGCCAAACATTAATTTATTAAACTTAAGATACTTGATGCCTTTTTTTTTTTTTTTTTTGCATTACCACTATTAAGACTGCTCTAGATAAAAGGGAAGATGCTTAATAAACAGAAAGGGCACTAATTATTAAACTCYGTATAGCTGATTTAAAACCTGACCAAAGTAGCAAACAGATGCATCAAGCCCTTGACCTTGCATGAGATTTAATCCCAAAAATATCCGTGTCTCAGAAAGTCCCCCTCACTTCAGCACAAGCGGCATATTTAGAATACCTGAATATCATTACATGACTAGGCAGGCAAAGACTGAGAAGTTCAGCAAACGCAAATCACAGTGCTTTCAAAATACATAATCATTGGTTATCTTCAAGGAAGGCATTGCTTCATTAACATTTTGATCTAAACGATGATATTCCACTGTTCTAGAGCACAGGCCATCCCGCCATCTGCGGCTCTGGACCAACAAGAAGATCTGCAAGGAAACAGAACCAAGATGTAAGTACATGGCGAAATATTTTGGCTTCAAGAGCCAGTTTAACAGCTGCATCTGCAATCACAGTCTCATCCAGGGCTCTCAGCAAGGGCAATACAGTTACTATATAACATGACACAAGTCATCAGCCATTTCCATACTGTCCTTGTCACCTAGCCACATACTGCAACCTCAGCTGCAGTTTTGGCAAAACCACTGCATCCCACCCATGATTCCTCTAATATGGGCACATATGGCGCTCCAGATGTACTGAAGCGGTGCAGTACTGCACTGCATGCACAGCCTATTTAGAATTCTGCCCTATGTGGTGACATTTGTTTATTCATCTCGCCTATTCTGGCCTTTCACTCTTGTTAAAGTTGCATTACTGGTGGTGAAACAAATGCAAGAAGAGCAGCACCAACGCAACTCTTTCTGCATTACACTCCGTGCCCCTTTAGCAATAGGGCACTGAACAGAGACTACGTGGCAAAACAAGCACTGAAGTGCTCAGTTTTAAGAATATCTGGTATCTTTATCCTATTCAGCACCATCTTCTACCTACTTCATATTAGGAACCCAGTTTACAGCACAACACAGCTGTACTGGCAAAGGGATGATAAAGGTAGGCACAGGAAGGGAAGAAAGGAGAGTGAGCTAAGTCTTACATAAATACATGCCACTGTCTATGTATTTACAGCACTAGTCTATTTTCCGCTCACAAAATTATATGCGAGTGCTGAAGTATAAGAGCAACAGATCACTTTCCTGTTACCCAAATGACCTTCCAAATATTATTTCATTTAGGTAGGAAAGGGAGGGAATTTTATTCAAACTTATCTCAAAAGTTAAATTTCCAAAAGCAGCAGGGGCACTCTAGAACACTTTCCCCTATAAACACTTAGAGCTATGTTTCAGTACTGTAAAGCACAAGTATTTTTTGTGTTCTTTCCAGACTCCCCAGAATCCTGGACCAAACCAGTGTTCAGCACAAGGATAAAGAGAAACAGTGAGGCTCCCCAGCTCTAAGAATTAATCTATGATGTGACTGATAATTTGTCTGTGCATATTACCGTGGTAGCAATACATYTGGAACAACAACAAACAAAAAAACACTACTAATCAGGCAACTTTTGAGATGCAGAGAGTTAGTTCATGCTGAAGAAACATTTACCTCAAATCACTAATAAGCAGGTTCCTGTCTGTGTAAAACTGAACATAAAGAGCTTTTAAAAAATTACAGCTAAGCCCAAGGAATATTTATGATTTACCAATGACCTTAAAGTGAGTATTTCCTACAAGTATTAACATACTTATATCAAGAATATCCTCACATCATCTGAGATTAATGCTTTCTTAATTTGCTGTTTACAATCCTGGGCAGAACCACAACGAGTTGATCACCTTCAAGTGACTTCACTCAGGCACTATTTCTGGAAGTCATGTCTATGTGGCACTGTCAGTGTCATATTACTGTTTGCTCATGTTCGGATTTTTCTGTCTAAAATGTTTGATTCCAGTTTGTTTTCACTGTATAGATGAAAATGACATTAATGATCACAACTTTTCATAAGCAAAGTAAGTTTGATTCCCCAAAAAGCCATGTTCCTCTTATTAAAATGGTGACAATGTCCAAGCAATTTTAAATACTAAAGCAATCTCCCTTAACTTTTAACTGTGCACCTACCTTCCTCTTGTTGTGATAGGTGATATAAACAACAGCTACTAAGAAGGCAACTATAACCAGATGAAAGAAGAAGTGGCTGTCTTCTTCCAAATCTGCAACAGTAGCATCTTTCATCCTCTCTTCATGGGACTTAATCTCCTCGTTATAATTACTAATGGTGTCAGAGTCCTCATCTTCTGGCATGTCTAGGAGGTCTGGACTGTATCTTGAATTCGATGTCATTTCATAAGGACCATAGTCATCTCCATCAGATTCCAGAGTTTCTTTTATTATGGGCGGAGAACTATTTAGTGTGTCTTTCAAATCTGTTAGAAGATCCTCTTCCTCGATTTTAGTGTCTTCAGAAGCATCAACATCCATCTGAGAAACAGGACTAACAGTCACTGCATGAGAGAGGACACTGAGCAGAGAATCACCTCTTGCTGGAGATGGTTTTACTGCAGTCATTGGAGTGATTTTAGCTGCTGTTGGGGGCACCTCTTTTTTTGTTGGTGTTATGCTGTGCAAACCGTCCATCACATTTTGCAGTGTTTCATTCTCACTTCTGGAAATATTTTGCTGACGCTCCTCTACTTCTACAGACTCTGAGAAAGGGACAAAAAACATGTAATATTAAACTCAAGACATTAAATTCTCTTGCAACACGTCAATTAAATATGATCACACAGCAAGTAGTTTACAACCAATAAATCCTACCATGATGGACTGGAGATATTTCACACTGCCAACTTTTTTAGAAATCGTAAGCAGAACTGTACTTTGTAAACTTCAAGAAGAAGTCTTCAGGGGGACAGACACTTAAGTCGGGAAAGACACCCTTACCACATCAACAAGCCAAGGTGTTCCTCAAACACTGAGCATGCTTACTTTCCAGATTGAGGACTTTAGAGATGCACCTACCACCCTCCATGTATGAATGCCTTGATGCCTGTAGGATCATACTTGACCACTATTTTCTCCATCATCTCATGCTTTCTCCCAGGGATTTGGCTGAGGAGAACATCTCCTGCAGGTAACAGAGCTTTAAAATGTTTCTCCCTACCATATTTTGCCTGAAGAAAATAAGAACATACAACAACTTCTGCTTTGGTCAGCACACAAGGGCCCGGCACCTTCTCGTATTTTTTGGCATTTCAATTTTTTCTTTTTTTAAAGTGACAATACTTTCATTGAGTGCTCCTAAAGAGCTCCATGATGCATTCAACCAATTGCTTGTGTCAAATTACTCAGAAGTAAAATATTATACAGAGGCTACACTGAATCACGCTATTCATGAAACGTGTATTTGCAGAGGCTCAGTTACAACAGACTTCGCCTTGTTTACCTGGTACACTTTCCCAGCATGAAATAGACTTTAACCTACTGCAAAACAGAAAGACCCCACTAATCCCACTGAGCAAGGAATAACATTCCTCTGCACCAGGGGCTCAAAGGATGCATAATTAATCTGTTATATTGATAGCAAAACTGTTCTTTAAAATAAGGAAACTACCACTTTTATTACTACTTYAAATCAACCTCTTTCAACATTTGTAGTATTAGAAATAGGTCAGAGAGAAGAAAAAAAAAACTTATTCTGCAAATAAGAACTAAGTATTTTTGAGCCTACTCAAGATTACAGTTCAGTCCTTGCAWGGCCAACTTGCTGCCAATCCAATACATATCTAAAAGGAACAGCCTCAATGCAGCCTCTCTCTCCATCTCATAAAAAGAACTAGAATTTTCTACCACAGTTTCTGAACTCCTCAGTAATTCTGATAAACAAGCAGCTTTTCAAAAAACTGTTCCTTTCATGGTAAAAGCACATAAGCTAAKAAAACAGATTCTTAAACATTTTTTTATTCACGAGTTCCCTGAACAGGAGCAATGCCAAGAGGCAAATCAAAGACCCTATCCAACTTTTCCATAAAAATCACACCTTAAAAACTACCTAATAACCTTTGCTTATTTTATGACTGTGATATTTCAGATTCTAGATAGAGTCACATTGAGCTGGCTCTTTGGAAGGACACACTTCTATCAAAGGAAAACACACTACACCAAAAAAAAAAAAAAAAACAGTAAATAATGAAAATTGCTTTACTCCCTATCTACAGTGATTTCACACTAAAGAGAAAAATAATTTACTCTTAAACCTCCCCAAAGAAGCTTTGATCTTTTGTTTTACAATTGCAGCAAGTTTAGAAACTAAAACCATAACTGATTTGTGGCATCTCCTCAAAACTTGCTGACATAATTGGAGGCTGCACTGTTCAGAGCTGATGTAAACAGGAGCTCCTACACTTGAGAGACGCCTCAGGTTAATAAACAGACTTTAATGATTAATCACACAAGCAGAAGAATTAACAACATCGTGTTCTCAGTAAACATTACAGGGAAAATATCATTTGCAAAAACATATTTCTGAAGACAGAAATATTTCACAATCTTTGAAATTAAAAGTTCTTGCTTTGTGGCCAAACCTGAATCTCTTTTCCCACTATTCCCTATCCCTTTCCACAGGCAAGGAGCAGCACAAACGTAACTGGTTGYTCCTCATTTAACCTGTTGGGAGAAGCTGGGAGCTTCTCCTCTCAACAGGTTAAATATCCCCTTCGTTTCCTCCGGAAATCTCTGCTTCTCCACTGCCCAGACAACGATCTACCTGGAAAGAGTAAAACCTCACTGCACTCGACACACACATCTCTTATTCATGTTTGGTGGAAACTCGTCAAAGGAAAGCACAGGGACCAGGATTAACTTRTTTTCTAGCAAATGAAAGCGGCGTCCAAAGGCAGAGAGGCGGCTCGAAGAGCGAGGCTGGAAGGCGGCGAGGCGGCCTACCCGGCCGGCACCCAAACCGCAGCCGGTAACACCCCCCGCAGCCCTTCCCCGCGTGCCCCGCGCTCACCGACGGCCGCCTCGGCCAGGGCCCGGCCGCAGAGCAGCAGCAGCACCAGGCCGAGCGCGCGGCTCCCCGGGGCTCCCCTCACGCCGGCGGCCGCCATGTTCGCGGGCTGCCCCCAGCGACGTGGCGATGGCGCCGCCCCCGGCGCCGCGCATGCGCGCAAGGGGAGCAGGGCGGGAGGGGAGGCCGCATGCGCAGCCGGCCCCGTTGGGGAGCCCGCGCATGCGCAGTCGCCCCCGCCGACCGTTGGGAAAGGGGCGGGGCTTACGCGACCGTTACACCCTGAGGTAAAAGGGCGTAACAGGGAGCACGCCCTTAGTTCTCGTTTTGCTGCTGGTCTGAAGACTGAAGAATTGACTATTTAATTATCTCTGTACCGTGCTTTTTTTAATGTCTGGGTTTTGAGAAACATTTTCAAAATAGACTGCCTCAAAAAATGAACCAAATTATTCAGCAAGTGCTACAGAAAGTACAATAACATGCTGCTGCTCTGTTTCTAGATCCAAGATATATTATCACGTAACAGCTGAGTTGGAAGGGAGCTCTCGAGATCATCTAATCCAACCCTTCCTGATCAAGCAGGGACACCCAGAGCACATTACGCAGGCTGCAACTTCTCCTTCAGTCAGAACACAGCAGTATGAAGTTATTTTTACAGTCAATATAAGACAAAGAAGATGAAGATGACATTTCAATATTTTATTCAAGTCGGGTTTGCTTTTTTTAATCAATTTTTAGTAGTGTCAGGTACAGCATTTTGGGGTCTAGTTCCACACAAAATGGAAGACTCTAAAAACATACCCATTTAATTGCTAAAAGAAAAAGTGGTAACAAAAGTCCATTGCAAATTTGAAGTGATGCAACTGCGTGATTACAGTTACAAAGACTCTTCCTTCCCTGATTATGGCTCTGTCTTACAAGCTTCCCGTTCAGTGCAAGGGAAAGGAACCACAGCACAGGACAAGTAGTGTTGGCTGAGTCACATTAAACTTCCTCTGCGACAGAGTTACAYAAGGTGGACGGCCTAAAGCATTCTGAAGAGAGCTGTAGGTGTAAGGTAACTAAATAAAGACAAAACATTTCTGAAATACCTATCAAAAGAAAAAAAAATCCCTTTTTTTTCTCAGGCAATTTTACACATTCTCTCACTGAAGCTCTGAACGCGTAGTGTCAGGGTATTCGGCGTACAGACCACAATTCACTASAGTGGATTGTAATTCTTAAAGTCATTATTTTTACAGCACATTCACATACTCCCTGGGTAGTCAATACTCCAGTAAAGCTAATCAATACCTTCACATTTCTTATGTGGCAACAACATTCGGAAAATGCCTGGAATTAGGATTTTTTTGTTTGTTTTTGGCTCGCTTCTGAAACATCTTTAGCTTAGCCATCATAAACCAGCACTAGCATGACTGATACTCAGCAGGAACTTGCATCCCATACATARAACATTGAAAGGTACACTATATTCTGAAGGTAGCTATGCGTTAAAGKATCTTCAAAACAGCGATGGTGGCATCACTTTTTATGCTTCAAATTCCAATCCTAGACCAAGTTTGTGACCACCTGCATTGACATTCTTGCCATCCAACAAAGCTGACAATGTCAGTTTGATGCCTGTAAAATAGAAGTGAGAGAGAAAACAACTGTTAAAATTTGGAATGAGCTGTAGATTCAGTAGCTATGCTGCTGCTTCCATTTATTGGAGAGCTAGGTAAACATAACTGCTTGTAATGGTTGTTTGGGCTTTTTGTTGTTGTTGTTGATTTARGAAGTAACTTGCAGAGTAGTTGAGCTACGAATGGGAAATCGTTCTGAATTTAGCCTGTATATTTAGATAAACAAACCTTGAGGCTGGACTCTGCTTCATTTTACCATTCCAAGTAATTAAAAATCAATCAGACAGCTCCTGTTAGTCCACTAATTAATTTTAGAGTGAGATAATCCAACAATGAGAAAAATTGGGACTGGAATTGGGACCAACAATAGCAGAAAAATTGTACCTGAGGCCAGTGGACCTTGATGGTGTTACATTTTCAAGCAAAACAAACTCAGTACGAAGACTGCAAGTACTAAAAATTTATTTACCTATCTGTGGAACATCTAACTGTAGATACAATCCATATAAACACAAAAGCGTATCTGACTCGTCAGTAGATAATGGTCTCTAATAATTCTGCTTTTGATAATGTCCAGAATTAACAAAGCTGCTCCTCAAGAAGTCCAGTATTAGGTTGATACAGGGACAACAGTGTTACAAAACTAGTTACATTTTGTCACCAGAAATTCTTCAATATTTCAAAACTGAAATAGAGCTTATCTGATGTCGGAATTTCTTTTGCATAGACTTACCTGGCTTCAAAGTCTGTGTGTATCCTAAACCAATCAGACTGGAGTTGTTCACTTTAGCCTAAAAGATAAAAAATACAGAATGTAAATAATTCGATGCATTTCTTCTTGAATGCCTTTTAACTGTGGTGAATGAGTTCTCATTTSAAATCACAAGAATAACATAGAGCATATTTTGCCATCACTTACAAAATCTCAACCAATCTGCAATATTCTTTATTAAACAAGGTTATAATTTTTTTCCACAAGGCTAACATGAGAACCGCTCAGAACAGTGCTCAGTGCTCATGACAAAGCACTCTGTATCACTTGCAATGTAAATCCAATAGTTACGGTGTCATGCTGATACACACAAAAAGATACAGAAAATGTGCCAACTACACTCCAAAGAATTGCATTAAGAAGTGCTTTACTCACTGATATAAGGCTGCTTCACATTTCCATTACAAGAGCTTGTTTTCAAATGCTCATAAATGTACATGTATAGCACTCACAGAAAAAGAGGCGTCGGGATCGATCTGATACTTGGCTGCTATTCCAAAGCGGGTGTTGCTATTACCAGCTGTCCAAGCAAGATTCACGGCAGTTTCCAATTTATCATTCACCTTCTGGTAAATGGAGCCTCCAAATTCTGTTCCATCGTTCCTAAAATTAATACATCACTCTAGTTTTAAGCTGGACCCCCGAAATAACAGCTTTTTCAGCAAGATCTCTATTTGYAAAGCATTCGCTTTTACTTCATTCAGTGTCTGCAACACCTATGACTGAAGAAAAGCCAAGACAAACTCTCCAAAATAGGCAAAGACGAAAGGTTCCCATATTCCCTTCTCTGTAGATGGGAGTCTTTGTGGTTAAGAGATTCCCTCCTGGCCGCACATGTGTGAAATAATCAATAATCCCTCTCCCAGACACCCATCTTCCCAGGCCATACCCTGGTCACTGCGAGCGAGCRCTCATCTACAGGCAAGCGCTCCCAGCACTGTCTCACCAGCATGTTTTCACTAGGCGTACATGAAGCACATTAGAAGTGCAGATGACAATTKAATATCAAACTACATCAGCTCTTGTAAATTAATTCCATTTGCAATAGTCCTAATGATATATTCACACTCTGAGCTAGAAACTGAAATGGGACTAACTTCGGTTCCCATATAGCACTAGGCAACAGTTAAATTATGGGAACCTCCAATCACTGCTAATGAGTAGCAGACCTTCAGTTACCATCTACACCAATGTCACAACAGGGATACAGCATGGTAACTAAAATAAAATGCAAAACCTTAGAAGTCATTCAGATCATATAAACCACAGCAGAAATTTCACTAAGCTTTTCACTCCTAGTAAAATTGCACACATGAATTTCCATTTTTGGCCCATTTTCTTAAAAGAGGATAGAAATACTTTGCATGAAACAGGCTTTAAACCACATGAAGACCTCTGCAAATAAAATACTTTGGATTATTTCTCAATTGTAAAATAGGCTAGCTCCACTTATTACAGTATACAAACCCTTGAAGGAWGATAAAGGCAGATTTAGGATCTCTCTGGTTTTATCCATTTGGTCCATGCTTATTAGTTTTTAACAGTTGCACAGACGATCATAATACACCTACTTTAATGTTCAAGCAATAGCAGCAACTTTTTAAATCGTTAGAGCAATTCTTCCAGAAAAAAAACACTACAATACTTACTTCAGATAAGCCTGAAGCTCACATATAACTGCATGTGCTTGGTTCTCAAGAAAAGGAGGGATTAAAAAGGACTGAGTAGAGCTGGTTATACAGGCAGATTTTGTGCAAGCTTCCCATACAGCTCTGTCTTGACCTGCAACATTAGGGGGCGGTCTGAGCTATGCTCAAAAAACGAGGAAAGTCATATTTCAGATTAGAAATTATCCAGCCCTGCCTCCCTTTAGTTATCACGTATCATTAAAAAAAAAAAAAAAAAGCAAAAGCTCATTTTAATAATAATAATAGTACTTTTTGTTTGTAGGTCAAAAATACTACCCTCCTACACAAATGATTTAGGCACCATTAAGTATCTTCCTGAAGCCACCAAGAGGTCTGCGAAACAGCCAGAAACAAAACAAGGTATCTCAAGCCCCACCTAGTTAATTTATCTACTCTGCCATACTTCTTTGAAACACTCAGCTGTCTAGATAAAAGCCAGTACGCTAGTGGTGGGCATTCAAAATACAACTGTTTCCTGAATTTAGCAAAAACTGTCATGTTTCAGAGCTGAAACACATTAAGAGTCCCTAACAAATCCATTAAAGCAATAATTAAAATTTTTGTTCATATCACACATCACTGTTTCTGTCTTTCAGCTCACAGGTGAGAAATAATGAACRACCTAGGCTTCCTCCTAAGGAATATTTATCATTTCTAAAGAGTAACAGCTACCAGAGAAATAGACCTTTGTGGATCAAAGAGATGGTAGGGGAGGCTCAGATCTTACTGATCTGAAGTTATTTGCTGCCACTGCCTTAATTAAAAGTAGAATTACAGCATTTTATAGCAAAGGCCCATAATACAATGTTTTATCTCCTACAGTATCATAGAGTTGAAAGCCCCTGTGTTTGAGGAAACTATTCAGCTTCTGAGTACAAGGGGATCCTGCACGCTGTTTGGATGGAATTTCCTGCCCACACACTTGTGCTTGGCAATCCCTCAAACACAGCATCTGCCCTGTAAAGGTTGTTCGGTGAGGGAATTCAGGTTTCCTAATGCAGATCCCTGAAAAYCAGCATGGAACGGACCAAAGAGCCGTGGAAGGAGCAGCTCTGAGAGCGCAGAGTTGTTCAGTCCTGAGCAGGAACAGCCTGTGAGGGCTCTGCTACATGCAAAATACCCAATTAGCTAATGGGAAAGGGGAGAGAAGAAAGGATTAAGGATCAGCTAATCTTAAATGCTGTCAAAAGGCATAAATTGTTTTCTTCACAGGCGGCAGGAGATGGAAGAAATGAAGGYTTTTATGAAATTTTGTCCTGTTTTCCTTTCCTGTACACATATGCAGGAAAGATAAATGTCATGTAAATAGATTATTAGGGGGTTCAGCAATAAGACAAAATTTCAGACCATTGCCCTTCCGATACTAACACAAATTTGGTCCGTAGCTCTTCCAGCATTTCCTTTTTCTCCCATTCTTGTTCATCCTCTGATTAATTATTTCTCCTACAGATCAAGCTACCATTTCCAATTGGAAATCTTGATATGTGCAAAAGGGAGACACTGCTTTTATCTTTTTTTTTCCCCATGAAGAAAATGTGATTTGTCATTATTCCACTAAATATCTTTCAGAAGAACAGGCTCTGAATGCTTTAGTATTCACTCACTTTCAGTTCTTTTCATCAATCCCTCACCCACATAATTCAAACAAAAGCTACTGCAAAATTGCATTTTGCATTCCCAGCTTTACATTCCCTCTTTCACCCTGAAAGTGAAAGTCTTTTCCTATCATTCTTCTAGTAAACAGCAAAATCCTTTTAAATTCTTATGTTTAAAGGCCTGCCTGCCAATACTTACACATTAGTGTGAAGCTGGAATTCATCAGTTTTATAGCCAACAGCAAAGTTGCTCTGGGTTATTCTGGACTTAGTGGTCTCAAAAGTCATTTGGTAACCTGCCAACCAGCCCTCATAGCCAAGCACCAGAGCTCCTCGTATCGAAGGACCAGCGATATCAAAATCCATGTCACAGCCAATGTTGATGTGTTCCCGCTTGTAACCCGACTTAACTTTAGCACTCTTTTTCCTAAAGGAAAACAAAACAAAGCATTACTTTGAAAAATACAGGCTCTTAAGACCTTTATGCACTTTAATCAAGTCAGTTACTTCAATTCACTGTAACAGTTCCTGAAAACAAACATATAAATGCCTGGAGATCTAGCTGGTATGTCACCTTCTGCACTGCAGACTTGCAAAAATCTAATTCCCCTGCAGTAAATTCTGTGCAAGAAAGCAAGAAGATGCTGTGTGCTATAATAAAGAACACTCCTGAGCTGTGTTCGAAAAAGCAGCAGACCCACGACGACAAAAGCCATTCATCACGTCACACAGATCTGATTTTGTTGTGGTTCAACTTTCCCAGGGAGAAGGAGGTAACAGGAACTGCAAGAGTTTACATGTTGGCCACAGAAAGCAGCGCTGGGCTGTCGCACACAAACAATCCTCGGACAATCCTAGTGAAGGGGTAAGTTCGGAAATGCTGCTCTGCCTCCAGCTGCCTGAGGAGAAGTCTGGCTGCTAAGAACTAAGTGACTTGAGTGGCTCTAGCACCCCCTTTTGYCCTTACGATGCTTTATATACACACATTTTAATATTTATAGCTGTAGAAAAGGACAGAGGTTTGTTTTCTTTTGAAGTAAACATAYAAATAAGCTTCAAGTCATTTGCTTCCTTTAGTATGATGGGCCAGAACAGTGTTTCCTCCTTTGTCAGTGCATTTAAGCAAAGCAGCAGACTCACATCCAGTGTATTCAGCTCAAGCATCTCCTGCATTTTGAACTGCTCTGTTTTCAGGCCTAAACTCATCTCTTCTGCAGCAGCAAAGGAAGAGATCAAAGGTAAAGAGCAGGAAAGCCAAAAGCCCTCACACACGGCCTGCCCTGTCTGCAATTTCCATAAAAATCCATGGAACATCTTCCTACCAGCATCCRTGGGGACGGACGTGAGCTGACGCAGGGCATTTCTGAAGGTGACTTTCCCAGTCAAAAGACTCAGAAACAGCAGTAAAGAGGGAGRGGAAGGTGTGTCATAATCACACATGATGCACCCCTATCAACTTCAGCCTGGTTGCAACACGACTGAATATTACATCATTTACTCAGATTATAATAATCTCCCTGCATTCCCTGCAAATAATAATCTCCTGCAGGGGAGAAATTTGTTATAAATCAGATGTTACCTCTGTGAAGTTCCTGACAAGTAGCTATACAGCTGCAACTCATCATTCTCTCTTTTTTTTTTTTTTTTTTTTAAATAATCCCACCAGATAAAACAAAATTATCAGCAAAGAAAGAGAAATTACTCTGTAGGTATCTAGTTAATCTAGAATCAGGAATACAGTGAAAGCAGTTTACAATGGGAGATACTAAATGCAGAAAACAGGCTGAAACATTCAATGAAGCTGTTACCCTGGTAGCCTGCAGAGCAATGTGCTCCTACAAAAAACTAATTTTCAGAATATTTTGTCTATTTTGACTCACTGGCAACACTGTTCACAAAAGGATAATCAGGGAAAAAAATAAATCAACATCTAGTCCTGCAGCTGCTGCTTAATCCCTGTGGCCCACATAAAACGTGGCATCCAATCACTAGGTCAGAAATCCTCATCCACCACCAAGTCACATTGTGCCCAGCAAGAATTTAAATGATAAATTCAGCCTGGGAGGTGAACCCAATTACTGCAGCGACCTATTAGAGCTGCAGCCAACTGGCTTATGGAGCTTGTTAAGCTCTGAATTACAGTCGATTTGTTCAGAGTTTTTATTCAGACAGTAGCTAAGCACACATCTCCCAACAGGGCCGAAAATAAGCAACAAGAGGGAAAAAAAAAAGCCTTCTCCAATTCTTCATCTAATTTGGAAATAATTATATTTAAATTTTTAATTTAATTTAAACTAAATTTAAAAATTTTGCTTGCTACAACTCATGTTTAAAAAGTTAATACTAATATTTCAATGACATGTGACATGCATACACTGATTAGAACCTGTCTTTATATCTTATGGCAGAAGAAGTATAAGAAATAAGCTGGCATTCTGTACAACTAAAACCAAAAATGCTTTTTTTGTCACTCAAACTTAGTCACAACTTACCCAGTGTTAGGAGAAAATGAGGAGTCAAACGTCAGCTTCAGTCCTTTTGCAAGCTGAACAGGAAAGAAATTCAATAGTTTCATTCAGAATTTAAAGAGAGATAATTGGTAATGTGTATGCTTTGAGCCCAAAATACCTGATCTTCAAGAGTAATCTCAGTGCCTAGCGTGTTGTCCGTGTTCCATTTTTCTGTGAACATCAATCCGTATTCCACCCATCTGTATTTTGTTTCCAAACTACCACTAACTTTGCTTGTTTCTGAGTTTGCTGAACCTGAGCTTGTAAATTCCTAAAAATGGAAAGAAAAAAAAGTATTTATATATATATAYACACACAAACATACATACAGAGACACATACACACACACCTTAAATTTATCGAAGGAATTAGTCATTATAATTTAATTTGAAATTACAATTTTGGGATATTTAATACTGCATCACTCTCAAAAACTTTGRAAACATTTTGCTAGGCATTAATATCAACACAGGTTTGCCCCACAAAAATGGATTCCAGTGTTGATACAGCGCATCTTGCAGGTTCATAATATATAGGAAAACTGGCAAGGGCAGAATAAGGAATAGACATTTACACTGTCAACATGAACATATAGCAAACACAAGAACTTTCAGGTGTTTCAGGTCCAACTCACCAGTCCATTTTCAGATTTAGTTTTCAAATCAAGTTTGATTAACCCAAAACCTAGAAAATGGGTAAACAAAAAAAGTATTATACAAATGTTAATGAAAAGATAACTTAGAAATGATCTTAAAAACTCCTTTCTAGATCTCCCATGAAATACAGCTACTACAACATGTTTTCCTACGAGCTGATTATATCAGACAGGATATATTGACTGAACTAGTCCAGCTGACTTCATCAATATCAYTAGGGCCAAATTAGGTGATAGGGGGTTTATTCCTCCTGAATAGCGTTTTGTTCATAAGCAAACTACTGACATGGATGTCCTTGACTCATGATAAAAGGGACGAGTGAAAATATAGTGCAGACAGACGTGGGGGTAAAAGGAAAAATGTCATCAGAATTCAATTACTTGCCCTTCAGGGGGCAGGGAGGAAAACACGAAGCTCTGATATAAAACTATTCAAAAACTAATGAGAAATATTGGAATTTTTGTCAGTGAAATGCAGTAAAATCATGACAAATCAGTTTTAGGAATTAGTTAAACAAAAGAACAGTTTTATATTTACCATATCCCTTGGTGAAAACATCTCTGGCAGATTTTCCCAAATCAGCATAAGCTGGTGGAACAGCCATTTTCTGAAAATAAATAATTACATATATAGAGAGAGGAAGATTACAGTATTTGGAGACTTGGTTATTTATGCTAGTTCAGTAACTGGCAACCTAAGCCAAATTCCTAAGTCTCTATCCACTACCTAACAATTTAACACAATGTGAGGAAAGTAACTAGAGCAAATACTGTGATTTGATCTCCTTCATTAGCAAACATTAATGATTAACAGTAGCATTTGCCACAAGGATGAGAAACAGGTTGCAGAACAAATAAAAGAAAAAGCAGAAACTTCCTCTGCCTTTCCAGTTAATTTTTTGTTTCTTTAGCAACAGAGCTGCAYGTATGATTTCAGAGGAACAAACCAGCTGGGTCTACTTTCTTACTCAAGTGCAGTAGTTTGTTCTATGAAAGCAGCCATATCCAGACCACCTGAAACGGTGTGCACTTTCTTTCTTTTTATACAATATTTCATAAAAAACATTAAAAAATCATTTTTCAAAATAAAAATCTTTTTTTTTTTTTTTGAAGAAAAACAAGAGAGAATCCTCACAGAGCAGGTTCTCTTCAATACTGGCTTTTGCACCCAAGTGCTGTACTGTCAGTCAGTATATTGCAGCTATACTTACTAGCAGGCAAGAAAAACCAGTGCACAGCATCACATGCAGCATYAATAACAAGTCTATTACATACGAATGAAAATGCTTTGAGACTTGCCTACTAAGGCCTGTTCCAAAGTGCTCTACATGAGCAGAGAGCTATTCCTGCAAAGCCCAAAGCAACCGGCTCACTCCGAACACATGGGGCCCTTGGCAGCACTCGGAGCACCCAGCCTGACCGCGGGCGCCGGTTCCACTCCCGGGATTCGCGCGCAGGGAGTTTCAGCAGCCCCGGGCGCTCAGTACAACAGGCTGCTGCCTGTTACAGGGATGTTGCTGTTGCATAAGCCAGGAATCCCTGTCCTAGAGGTGCAAAACACATCTCTTGGCTCAGCCGAAGTGAACAGTCTTCTTGGAACATAAATGAGGATGAAAGGGCGACTGCCGGGATGCAGCTTCGCTTGCTGAGACTGTGCGCGAGTGCATTCTAAAGTCCTGCAGCTTCTTCCCAAGCTGCAGCCCCAAACACCTAAGCAGTTAACTAAAAAGCAACGTATTCCATATTCCAAAGCAGTTTGGGCTGCTTGTGTAAGACCTAAATGCCTCTCTCCATTTTTATGCCAACATGAAAGCCAGAATGTCAATCTATAAACACCTCTCGCTACAGGAGAACCCATTCTAGTAGTCACTCGCATGTGGTTCTGGAAACCTAACCCCAGCCTTAACCAGCACGGATGTTCGTGGCATTACGGATTCTTTTAGACAAATCCTCTGTTTTTATTAAGGTCATTGCAACAAAGGACAATGTCACCCTTGAGGTCAGAGCTTGGAGAGCGCCCAAGAGGGCACATGGAGCCCAGGTCRTCCTGGGATGATTCTCCAGGGACTGCATGGACTCAGGAATTGCTTCTTCCCAGGCAGAGCTGCAATCTCATCACAGCCCTGTGATGGGCATTTCCACTCAGAACCATCAATAAATTAAAGGRCTAAAAACCCCTGTATCAAAAGGCCAAGCAGAACAACGCATTATCTTTCAAAGCGCTGCCTCTCAGCTGCGTTTTGGATTCTATCAGTCAAACCCCGAGTTCACCAACAGCCACTTGGAGCTACTTCTAAAAATCAATATATGTCCTTGAGGAGCGAGWGCTGCGTGTTTTGCAGTTGGGTTTTGTTGGGCTTGTGGTGAGGCAGGAGCTGACCATATTGAAAGCTAAATCCATGTCCTCTCTCTAAGATTATTTGTAAGGCCAATCATGTAAGGCACRCAGAACCCAGCGTTCAACATTGCTGAGGGTGGAAAACACTCTGTGCAATATGTATGCGGCGGCCAACCTTGCTGCTGTTGCCACCAAGGAGCAAAAATAATTATTTGTTTGCATTAGCTAATCTGTATTCAGACCTCTCTTGTTTAACAGGGAGGAAAACAAAACTGATGACGCCGCGTGCGAGCGCAGCTCAGCAGACAAGCAGGGATTCGTATTCTTAAAGGATCAGGGAGGAGCCACACGGCCAAGGGCCTTGCTTTTCACTGAGGGAAACCAGGACATAAATTCTTACCAGGCTGTGGGTGAAATAAATTCATGGATTTTATCCTAGCCCAATATCCTTGCCCTTGGATATCTTGGAGTAACTACAGACTTCAGCTCCTGCACAAAGCAGACCCAGGACCATCCACACGTCTTCGTAAAGCAGGAGAATATTTTGGTTTTAAGTACATCATCACTGAAGTCCTGCAAAACACCCTTCCTGAGTTAAGGACTTAGCTCAAAGTGGGTATTAAGAGCACCATACACAGGGWCACTTGATTTATAAGAGTAAAATGGAGAAAACAGGGAGTTTTCCTTGGAGATGAGTGACACAAGAGATAGCTCCAAGGACAAAAACCACACTGGACACAGGGAGGTTCCAGCAGGGCTGAATATGACTCAAATATTTCCAAGCATCCAAGATGGCCAAGTTTTCAGGCCCGGCTCCCCTGCACTTGGATGCTCATGGATCACTGTGGAGCACCAGCTCTCCTGGGATGAGACAGGAACTGCCATCACCCTGGCCTGCATTTATAGAGATGTGACAAGGGATTTCATCCCTCAAATTCATCTTTTTGCTCCATCTCTCCTTTTCTTGACCAAGTTTTCCTACATAGACTTATCAATGTTATGATATTTACAGGAGGGGAGGGATCTACGTAAAAATTTAAGATAGGAATGAAATACATCTGGGATGARATGCCCACGGAGACCACGGGGTCTCTGCTGGACCTCACTCCAACTTTTCCAGCTAATCTGACATGAAGGCCTTCGGCCTCAAGACCCCAAAATCTTATTACCTCCTACTTATCTCCTTTATTAAAAGAAGAATTGTCGTTTGGTATGAAGTAGCTTTCAGTTGTCTTCCTGGATTCGTGSCCAATGCAATGTCATTTCCAAATCAACATCTTTTATATCAACAAATAAAATAACACGTGGCTTTTGCACGCGTCCAGAGTACAACACACACAACCCGCCCCGATGTCCCATTGCCTGACGGGCTGCGCACGGTCACCAACTGCTTCGAATCAGCCTCACACGCCTCATTCTGCAGAGACTTAAACACAGGCTTAAGTGTAAGCACACACAGAGCCCCACTGAGGTCAGACACCACATTAATCACACGCGCAAGGCTCCTCCAAAGCCCGCCTAAGCACACAATTTGTAAATACTTTGTAATATGGGCCAGAATACTTAGCAACAGATTTTTTTTTTGCCCTGACTTGCTGCTGTGCAGAAGCCGTGTAATCCATGCACGCTTATGACTCAAGATTTAAGACTCTGGAGTCGGCAGTTTCTTTCTTGCACAGGGATTAGCAGCCCCACGAAACGCCCCTCTGATGGTCTGCAACGGGATCTCCTACCACACCGCTGCTTTCAAACCACCTAATGATGCAGCACAGCGAGAAGATTTATGTGACATATTCTGTCCCTTCTATAGGGTTTATTAGGCTTAAAGCAAATCCAAATATTGCAATTTAGTCTATATTCATATTCAAGGAGTTAAAGAGTCTGTTCTTAATTTCATGAGTATCCATTAAGAACACTGTCCTTGCCCTGAACCCTTTATCAAACCATCATATATAGGCGACAAGCAGAAGTTGGTGGGTGTAATTTGCCCACTGGCTACTGCAGTTGCTGGAACTGCCAAGGACAAACCAGGAACCACAGGCACTAGGAGCCAGCCCAAAAYGCAGGTTAACAACCCACGTCTCCCAAGCACAGGGCTCCGAGGAAGCGACCGGTGCTGGTGCCGCTCGCAGAATGGTTCAGCCTGGAATAAGGGCAGTGAATTTGGGGCACTTCCCTCACACCACGAGCACCACGCAGGGTGTGACACGCGCAGAGCGCCTGTCTCCCACACCAGCCACTTCCTCTCGCCACAAGGCAGCAAATCAGCGGGAAGGGAGAACTGAAATTTGCTGCTTTCCCGCGGGACAGAGGCACCCGCTGTGCCCGAGCCCACCTCGGGGCACCGGTTCATGCTCCTGCTGTGCTGCAGTGCCCAAACTCACGTGCACCGGGGACGCCTCCCGCTGCATCCCGGGAAGCGTGTGGCAGGATGCGTGCGCTCCCGCTGCATCCCCAGGAAGCACATGGTGGGATGCGCGCCCACTGCATCCCCAGGAAGCGCACAGTGGGATGTGCTGCGCTGCATCCCCGGGAGCGTGTGGCAGGATGCGCTCCCGCTGCATCCCCGGGAAGCGCGTGGCGGGATGCGCTCCCGCTGCCATGGCGACCGCCAGGATGCCCACGCGCATCCGCTCGCTCCGGCTGCACGCAGGGAAGGGAGGAGGACCGGGGGGAGGCCGGGTCCCTCACACAACACATCGGCAGGAGGATGCGTCTTGAGACACCTCCGCGACAGGGCAGAACCGCTGACACGGATTCCACGAGGGAATTCCGACCCTTGCTATCCCACAAGGAGGCAGCACCCCTTTAGGGCGGCTCCCTAGGAGCATTCCCTGGAGGCTCCGCTCGGCTCGGCGGGATGAGTCAGCTCCGCGCCGCGATCCCGSTGCCCCCGGCGGGGCGGCAGCTCCGCCGCTGCGCCCTGCCTGCCGCGGGGGGAATGCAGCCCGTGGCGGCGTTAACGGACATGTCTGCACCCAAATTTAAATATATAAATTATGAGCATAAGTAAAATAAAAATGAAGTGAAAACATACGGCGTGCGCAGGCAGGCGGCGCTGGGGCAGCGAGGCCGCCCCGCGTGCCCTCCGGCGCGGGGTCACCTTTAAACCCGCGTGACGGCTCCGCGGCGGCCGCGCCCCGC